CTGTGCGATGAAGCCGTGGGATCTGGATCAGCACCCTCCTGTTGCAGGGCTCTGGAATCTGTGCTCCCAGCTGTGTGGCCATGTGTCAGAAACATTAATGACCAGTAATGAGTGCAAGGGGCCCAGCGCAGACGCCCACGTGAATTTACAGTGCCATGAATACATGTAAACCAAAAGCGGGTTACAAACATGACTCAGAACATATGAGGAATTATTAATGTCCAGTATTCGTGGAGCCCTTTTGGGTGATTAACGGAGCAAATTTTCTTTCTCGTTTGTTTTAGGACTTAATGTTATCTGTTGTGTTTGTTTTTGTGGGGGTCATGGGGGGGGGGAGCTGTACCTGAGTGTGTTATTAACTGGAAGTCAGCTCTGGGCTCCTCCGTGCTGTGCTGGCTGGTGCCCATTGCGTTTCTGTGAAAGGATGCCACATGGGAGCCCAGAGGGGAGGGCCAGGCGCTAGACGGGGCCTGCCCTGCGGTCCCCGGCACGGCCACGCACCACCTGCATGCCAGCAGCCTGTCTACATCTGTCCCAGTGTTTTGTAACCCATTGTGAAATGACTTTGCGACGAGTCTTTGGAAACAGTGTGCCTTTGGTCTCTCTGGATGTAGCCGATTGGTTATTTCACAACAGCTGTGTTATTTAATTTTTTGTAGTATTTTTCTTTTGGGGAGATCCTGACAGACCTTTAAACTGAGAGGTCTGCTCTCAGTCTAGGAGTTAAGGAGATGAATTCTCAGTGGGAAGATTTCCAGTTCAAATCCCGAAGGGGAACTACTATTGTACTCTTGACAAATTACTTTGTCCCAACTGGATCGATAAATGTTCAGCTCTGTAAGTGGGTGAAGTGTAAAAATGTAAAGTAGGTTAGTTGCTTTTCATAGAAACGTTTTCTGAGCAAATGAATATCTTGCGCAAAATGCAATTATGCCATAAACATGTATGAATTATGGCACACACGCTGAAAAAGGTTATAGAGACAGATAAAAATGTCACAGAATAATGTCACAAAATGCTGCACACACATGAATTATGACATAAATACAGATTAATTATTTACTACGCCCAGGAAGATGACACACACACAGGTAAGTGTCATGCAGATGAATGTCTAATTTAACTTAGTAATGTTATGCATGCAGATGAATGTCATGCTGATATATGTCATGACCCAAGGTAAATGTCATGCAGATTACGTGTTGGATGTCAATCATAACATTGTATATGTCATGAACAGATTACTAATGTCTTGAGCAAAGCTTATTACATATGTCACAAGCTCCTTTATGACATGGCACTACCACATCTTGAAAAATCGCCACTTTATCCTGCCTGTTCCCTTTCCCCTGTGGATTAGTTCAGAATATCATAATGTTATTTCCCATGGCTGGAAATGTAAAGAGATGAGATGTGGTCCCAAAACTCTTGAGATTATGTGTATAATAGCATTGCTTCACTGGATTTCAATCAAATAGGTTTGGAGAGAGTTTATAGGGTATGATTTAGTTACTTTGGGTTCTCTAGACAGAGCTCGCGTTTTTCTCTGCATAGCCGCAGCCTTTGTATGTATATTCTGCCTGTACAGACACATTCACAAGCTTATTAGGGCAGATCAAGACGTAATTAATTAGGATATTCACTCGACAAGCCCTGGGCCCCAGGTCGGCGAGGCACCCGGGGGCCCAGGCTGCCAGCTGGGCTGGCTCTGAGGGCAGCGCCAGCTGACAGACTGCTGGATTAGGGCTGAGCAGCGGGGGGCGCTATCAAAGGCAAGGCTGGGGATTAGGGCCCGTGAGTGGGCGGGCAGCAGAGGCTGTGTGTGTGTGTCTGTGTGAGACAATGGGGGTGAGAGACCCCGTGGAGGCCTGCTTAAGGGTGGGGGGTAGGCGCTGAGACGTGCGAGTGCCCTGTCCGCAGCCCCGGCCCACTGACTGTGCTCAATGCACACAGGAAGTGCGATTCACCAGGGCCAGCTGTGACGGGTCGCTGAATGTGTCAGGGGCGAGTAAGCGGGTGCGTCTTGGGGGGGGCAGGCACCCCCCCGGATGTGCTGTGCTCTCGGCGGCCGGACCCCTCTGCCGTCCCTAATGTGCCCTCACAGGCCCTCTCCAGCTGTCCGGTGGAGGGTCTCGCTTGCTTTGACGCCTGAATGGCCGCCGCTCGGCTGTGGCTCGGTTCTGATGGACAGCTGGTCAGTGTGGTTCAGCCCCAGAGTGACAGCTTGAGTGCCAACCCTCTGTGGGGGGTTGGGGGTTGGGGGGGGGGGGCTTCCTTGTCCCCGAAGGGGCAGAAACTTCCTTGCTTACTGGAGAAGAGAGGGCAGCTGCCTCCCATCTTTGCTTTGTCTCTGCTTCGTAATGGTTGACTCATGTTTGACGTTTTGCGTGTCATCCGAAGTCATCGGTCTTGCTTCCACTGTTGGCCAGTGTTGCTCGAAGCCCCGATTATTCAGCAGAACAGGTACACGGTGCCCCGTGTTTGAACCCGTGACCCTCTGCCGCAGGTGTCCCCGGATCTCCGTGATCTCCAAGTCCCACCGTCCTGCTCTCAGCATGGGCGAGAGCCTGCGGGTCGGTGGGAGCCGGTGCACGGGCCTGCCCGTGCGTAGAGCCTGCGGGTCGGTGGGAGCCGGTGCACGGGCCTGCCCGTGCGTAGAGCCTGTGGGTCGGTGGGAGCCGGTGCACGGGTCTGCCCGCGCGTAGCGTGCGAGCCCACGGCCCTGCTGACGGAGAGGTGGCCTCGCGAGGTGCCTCTGCTCCGCCGCCGTGCTTTTCCCGCCCTCTGCGCCTCATTGTGTTTGTGTCCTGTGTATCATTTCCCCGCGAGATGGTGAATTGTTAGGAAGAACAATGATTCATTCCGCTATGAAAGGACTCATAAATTATTTACCACATTGTAAAGCTGAAGTACATTGCTGCCCTTTTCACTTTCGAGGGAAGGAGGAAAAAAATCGAATGGCACTTAATGCCCCCCCCACACCCCACAACAGAAGTACTGAATGCTGATGCTGAAATAGAATAAATCCTTATCTTCTGCATCCAGTAGACTGATTGGTTCCGCATGAAATTTCTCGCTTCATCCTAATTGCCTGGGTCTGGTGAGCTCTGGTCCTGTGTGTCCTGGGGGGAACACGGTGGTGGACAGGGACCTTTTTGGGGAAATTCACCTGTCAGAGGGGAAGCGGAGTGACCATCGCAGTAGGAGCATGTGGTGATACGGCCCTGGGATGGTTAGCACTTTGGCAGGCTTGCAGTAGAACTTCCTCAGCTTATATAAACCTTGTTGAATCATGGAAAAAACCACATATTTAATGTTGACGTAAAATTCAAGCTATTTGTTACATGTGACTACTTTGTTTGGTAGCCTGTTTGTACGTGTTGCCACTCGATTCAAGTGCAGTCGGATATTTTATCCTTATTTTCTTTTCCTGTTGCAATCGTATCTGAGCAGCACCGCTGACAGCGCCGTCAAGTCTGAATCTGCCTGTCTCCACACACAGGAGTCATGTGTAGCAGCTCCTGCACACGCTCTGAGGATGTAATCACGCATGTCTACGAGGGGGGGGGGGACATCCGTCGGCGGGGCTCCTGAAACAGGACACACTGGCTGGTTTGAGAGGGGCAGCAGCCCCCACCAGCTCTGAGGGTCAAACAGCGGCAGAGGTGCCGGGTGATGCGTGAGCGTGTGCCGGGGAGGGAGTGAGGCCTGACACCAGCACGTGCTGTCGTTTGGCCTGCCATGTGTCTGGCTCCTGCCCATCTTAATGCAGTGGGCGTGGTCAGCAGGTGGCTCCACCCACAGCCTCCTACGGAGCGTGTCCTATAACAGCAGGTGTCTGTTTTTCAAAGGGACAAGAGCGCACTCAGATTATATGTGCACATGAGAAAAGGCCTTGGGGGAGGGGGTGGGGCAGGGAGGGGGCGGGGCCCTGTCCTGTTCATGCCTCAGCAATGGACCCTTTCAGGGGGCCCCTAGCGTCACCTTGCTTGCCCTGGCAGCGGCTCCCCGGCCCCCTCCTTTGGTTTAATCGTCCTGCTTTGCACGCTAACACCTTCAGTAGCTGCCCGCGGGGGCGACCCGTCCGCTCGGCACGGGGGAGGCGAGCATCTTACCCCCCCAGGAGGCTGAATACCACATGGCAGGAATTAAAAGGTCGCAGTTGTAAACGGCAGTGCCACGACGTCCGCAGCTGCCAAGGTTCAGCCGTTTGGGGGGGGGGGGGCTGGGGGCTGTTAATTAGACTTTAAGCACCTGACAGGGTGGGATCATGTCCTCCCTTTCCCCCCCTTTCAGCCCTTTTTTTATTGCTCGGGGGGTGAGACACTGCAATAGCTTCCAACGGGGGTGTCAAAATGGGGGAGGATCCTGTGCTTGTACCACTAAGGGAACTTTATTTTAACCCTAACACCCCCTCCCCCCCCAACTTACTGGTGCTAATTACCAGCAGAATAGCCCCGGAGGCCACTGTTTCCCATAAGGCCATGCGGCGCAATCTATTGTTATTTTAATATTTGAAATGGCATCTCTGTTGGCCCCTCTGTGGTCGTCTTTCCACTAATCTGCGCCACTGGCGGTTCCCTCCATCCCAGCAGGGCTATGAGGATTGCCCCGACGGGTTTGTCCCTGTAGGACGGTCCTGGCCTGGTCCCCGGTCCCTCGGCTTGTGGTGTGACATCTGTACAGGTGTCTTTTAGCTGGGACGTCTAAGCTTTAGGGTACCAGCTGAATCTGTTGGACCTTCAGCCAGGGACTGTAACTCAATTCGCATCATTAAAATACCTTTTTGATGGGTAAAATTGCTAAATAAAATTTTATAATAAAGTCTCCTTGGGAGGTATGCAATTTTCCTACCATTCCAACATTACACGGGAAATCTTCCCGCCAGGATTTCAAAATACTGTGGTATAGCCAAAATAGCATATTGTCATAATACCGTGGAACTCCACGATAAAGACGGTAATAATTTGTGATAATGATGAGTAGTAGTATCTGTAATGTGCCCTCTGTGTGCTTGTGAGGGTGAGGACCCTGTGGTGGCCTGGAATCCCACTGAGGGCATTTCCTGGGACATGCTGTGAGTTCCCCATAACCCTGTATTAAATATGTGCTTATGGAAGATGGATGAAATAGTGAATGCAATGAGGAACAGCAGTAATGACCTGCAGGAAACCCCAGGGCTGCCCTTGGCTGCACGTGGGGACCGTGTGCTGTTTAGGAAATATTAGTGCTGTGCTGTCATCTGCTGTTTTTAACACAGAGATTCAGACTGGGGGAGTCTGTTTGATCAGAGCATCTCGCTCTGCCTGCTGTCCTGGGAGGAGCTGCAGTGTGGGATATGATGGGGTCTAGTCACATGATGATTATTGTGTTTAGGTTAAGATGCCGCATCGGAAGGGTGTCGGTTCAGGTTTCAGCAGATTACGTTCACCGTTGGGTCCCTGAGTGAAGCTCTTAACCCCCAGGGACTGGCTGACCCTGCTTTCTCAAAAAAAGGTATGAAACTTTGGATAAAAGTGTCTTTAATCAAATAAAATGTCAAGGTACAAAGAAGGGAGTAAGAAGGAGCTGAGTGGACCTTCAGAGCTGAGTGGACCTTCAAAGGTGTCATCCTCAGGTTTTAATATGAAAATGAGCCCCAAAAATGTCACGTGAAGTGATGCTTTTGTTCTCCTCATGTAAGTAATTAGTGCTCATAAATAATAAAATGCTTGCCCATAGATGTTCTAGATAGTTCCTGGCAGTTGTGCATTTCCCAGTGAGCTCGTGCTACTGGTGCCGTTTTCCACTTTATTGTAACCCTTTGGCTGTAGACGACCCACTCGGGCTCTTGGGTCATTCTAATGAGGTACCTGTCACCCGACACATCAGCCGGGGCCTCCGCACACCATCTGCTCAGCAGGGAACTTTCCACAGCACTGATCTTTAACCTATTTATTAGCAATTAATAGGGAGCAGCCTTTAAGGGTGATGTATCTGACCCTCCAAACTGATACATAGACAGGGCTACTTTATTAATGATTGGAGGAAGTTAAGATTTGCTTAATTTTGCTTAATCATTTTTTAGACTTTTACTTTTGTGTACGGTAAGGGCTGTTGCATCCCTAACCCTAACCCTGCTCCACACTGTATTCTGTTGCTGTCTGCCTCCACTTGAATGGTATGATAGTTAAGCCCCTGTGACTTCACTTTACTGGTTGGGCCTTGCACTGTCAGAAAAATGGTTACTGGTACAGTTTTGTACTCCAAGGTACAAAAAAAGCATGAATGTACTTTAAAGGTACATTTACCTATAGCTTGAGTACAGTTGGCAGGCCCTTGAAGTTACAGCCCCAGCTCAGAGGTGCAAATGGGCCCCTTTTTCCTGACAGTGACACAGTTACCAGGCGGTGTAACAAACCAGCTGAAATCATTACAAGGAAGCGTGTTCATTTGTAAGTTTTGTCTTCTTGTCTTGTGTTTTCATTTATTTACTTACTTTTAAGTCGATTCACATTTCTAATGTGACTTGCATAGCTTACAACTCAACATATCCAACATGTTAATTTTCCTCTTTTTATAATGAAAGAATTCTTGTCCTGTATCTTTTCAGCGTCCAACTAACCCCTCTGGACCTACAGGTCACAAGTTCAGGTCTTTAAGCAGTACTCCTTATCCTGCTTTTGGCCAGAACAAGCCCCCCTCAACAGTTTAAACCTGGCCACCCCCACAACTATGTGTTCAAGTACACACTTGTTGAAGGGTGGTACCTCCTTCAACCTTAGCCGATTCCTCAAAGACTACGATGGCTTTTTACACCTACGCAGTTATGTGGGGTCCACTTCCTGTCGTGTCCCATGGAGAGAGCTGTGGAAAAGCCCGCTCATTCCAACATAATGATGAATAGGTGGGAGGAAGAGTAATTAGGATTCCAAATGTTTTCAAGGAGGGACACACAATATGACTGGGTAGTGTTTGGCTTCTCTCTAAACCTGTCTCTTGATAACTGATTGACGTAAATCTTTGTGAAAGACATTTTCGACATGTTCCCCACCTCCCTGTCCCATCTCCCCAAATTGCATGAACCTCGGCCCCCCACATGTAAGATCTGATCCTGATAGTTTGACCATGGGCTCAGGCTAGAAGAATCAGGCTTTGAATCCAATACGAAGGAGATGAGACAGCCCATTACTCTATTAAACCGTTCTATTCCTGTCTAATATACAGCTTTTTATCCAGTGTGGATACGCTCTGCTCACTTCCAGATGTGTTAAACCAAGTTCTCTTGGTTTGGAACGCAGTGAGTTATGTTTAGTCTACACTGGATGAAGCTGCAGCTGTCAAAGGTTGGTGTAATAATAAAACAAATAAAAAACATAGTGTTAAAAAAAGGTTAAAAGTCACGAAGTCTGAATTGCAGTCTATCCTGATGCCCCAAGGCTCTCAGGTATATGCTTAAAGAAGTCCACCATTATTCCTATGTCAAATAAATATTTTGTCTCATGCCTTAATGATTACTGTCAATGAGGGACAATGCCATGTCCCTCGCTCTGCACATACCTCTGGGACATGCTGAAAGGATGAACAACTATATCAGGATGCTTTTCATGGACTGTAGCCCTGTAGTTAACAATATTATTCCATCTTATTTTGTTTAAAACCTCAGAGTCCTTAGTCTGTGCAGGTTTATCTGTGGCTGGGTGTTTGACAGACATCAGTGAGAATTGGCAGCAGACCCTTGTCCACTTTGACTCTCATTGCCCGTTTGTGACAGGGCTGCTGCAGCCTATGGCCCCTGTCATAAGGTGCTTTTCCACCTTACTTTTGGTACTTTGCTTTTTCCATTGGCTTCCGGTCGAGTACCAGTACCAAAATTTCTAGTACTGAAAGTTCCAAACCAGCTGGGGTACTTCTTTGGTACTTTAGGGTGGGGCTTGAACCGCTTTCATTGTCAATTGGTTATGCGAATACCCTGCCTCTGAAACACAATAAAAACGCCGTCTTGATAACAATTATGAACTCAGAAAACACCGATAAATGAAGGAAAAAAATAATTGTGATCTGGTCGTATGAACAGACAACAAAAAAATCTGAATGGCATGACAAGAAATTAAAGAAGTTCTCGAAGTACCAAAAGTACGGTACCTGGAGCGGTGGATAAGCGCCCATACAGTCTGTTCACCTATGACTATGCGGCAAAGCGTGCAGGTAACAGCATCAAGATTGCAGATGACACCATCATGATTGGCTGCTTGAGGCATGATGGTGAGGCTGTCTACAGGAGGAGGGTTAAAGGCTTGACAGTACAGTGCAAGCAGAACAGCCTCACTCAGAACATGAACACGACAAAGGAGATCATCGTCCACTTCAGGAACGTTGCGTCCCATTCGGCCTCTGTGATTTGCCTGTGGAAATTGCCAGCAGCGTCAGATTCCTAGGAATCTAAATCTCAGACTCCCTTTCATGGTCATTTAACACCAACCCTATCCTCGAGAAGGCGCAACAGGGATTGTTCTTTCTGAGGAGGCTAAAGAATCAAATTCCTAACAAAATCGTACTGCTGCATCATTCAGAGCATCCTGATTGGATACATCACAGTATGGTGTAGTAACTTGACAGCCCAGGATCTCAAATTGTTACCTCTTGTTCAGTTGCACCAGTGGTACCCTTGTACTAATTCATTGCACTTTATGCTCTGTTGTACTGCATTGACTTGCACTAATGTCTTTTGAAAGTGCAGCACTGTCTCATCCTGTGTTTCATCCCTCCTGACATTATGCAGAGAGTCTGTAGGACAAGAATTTCATTGTATTTGTTGAATACAAATTACAATAAAACTTGAATTTTTGAAACTTAATAGTCTGCATGTAAGTCACTTCTTCATTAGAGACCATGGGCACTATCCACCAGTTCTTCACAGGAGATCACCACAACCTTACAAATGACCAGTCTACTAGAGTACTGTCTCACACAACTAATCCAGTCCCAAGTGTCTCTCACAGATGGCCACATCCACAGATGTGTTGAAATTTAGACTAGATTCTATTTTGTTTTCGTTGCAAAAATCAGAAGTGCTCAGGACAATGAAATGAAGTTTAAAAAGGTGCATGCACTGGTCATCAGAGTCAGTGAAAGCAAGTCAACCTCCGGCGCGTGTGGCAGCATCTTCGCTGCACACTATATGCAGTGAGTGTGCAGCAAAACAGAAGAAATGACGTGAATTTGGGAGCAGCCATGACTGCTGCTGTTTTGTTCACTTCTGACTCCCTTTAAATAAGTCATATCTGCACAACTCTCTCAGCCATCACGGAACTCTCCATCCATTTCTGAAGATGAATTTGGTCACGCCAAATAAAATGGAATGCAGATAAAATGGAATTGCAGTTAATCGGGGAGGTGTCTACGAAATGGCAAGATTGTGTGGATGCAGACGTACTCTGGTGCCTGTTTCAGAAGATCGAAGTAACTTTCATTAAGGTTCATTGGTTAAAACCTGTGGTTTTGCAACTTTTACCGGAGACCTGCATTCTTTTCATGACTTTGGTCAGGTGTATATGCTGTATTCCCACGTTTGTGATCCTGCTCATTTTTTGTGACGTCTTCACATGGTTCATTTTACTATTTACACTTCTATCCCACATCCCGCCATCTGTGCCCGTGTCAGTCGCAACCAAAATTAAAAAGCAGCATTCCAACATTCCGCAGTCGTGTAATGCGCGGGATCATCTGCACACCGTGAAATCCCTAGCTCCAAGCTGCAAGTCATGACCTGAGCGCCGAGGCAGAGATTAACTTCTGGAGCGTTCTCTACCGTCAGCTCTCCCACCCAAGCAGAATCGCCCCGGGGAGACAAATGCGTTGGTTAGTCTGGTAGGCGGGGAAGTCGGTTCCTCCTCATGGAAGCAAAGGCACATAAGCGGCTTTGGAGGAGCGGCCGGTTGTGTGAGTGTGAGAAGCTGAAAGCCGTACAGTTTGATGCGCTTAATGCTCATATGGCCCTGTAAGGCAGTGCTTTGGCCTCTGGAATTCCTCCTCGCCCTCCCTGGTTCTCTATCAGCTGGGTTTCCCACAGAACACACACACATTGTGACCTTTCCCTCTACTGTAAGTCACTTTAGATAAAAGAGATGGACGGATGGATGGGTGGGTGAATGACTACATGAATGGCTTCAGTAGAGAGGTGACAGCAAGGCAGCACTCCCTTGACGTCCAGTGAACTGACCATTGTGCTGCTATTCTTTACTGACACTCTTTTCCTCTTGGTTCACAGAATGGGACAAAAAAGTACTGGGACTTCATGCGGACCCATGACAGGTGAGGTTCCAAGACATGCAGCACAAAGTCCTCTTAGACATGGCTCATGCATAACAAAGCACCAGACAGTAAGTGTAAGGTGGTGACGGTTACGGGCCATGTCAGAGCGATTAGCTGCTGGCCTGCTGAATAATCGTGCGACATGGCAAACAAGTTTTGTGCAGAATAGCAATGAAGTGCCAATACTGATCTTCACAGCAACCAAGTGTCACACAGAATAGCAATGAACCATCAATACAAGAAAATGCACCAGCGAGATTAGCTGGATTAAAATTTAGGGTAACACTTTCTATGAAGCCCATGCTTATTAAGTATCTATGCACGTATTCAAAACACATTATAATACATTCATAAAGCATTATAAACACAAGTATAAATGTTTATAAAAAGGCATACATTATAGCCATGTTTATTATGCATTATGAATGCTCTCATCTATAATGCACTATAAAGACCTTCATAATGAATCATAATGGTCAGCATAATGCATTATGAAGGTATTTGTAGTGCATTATAGATTAGAGCGTTCATGATGCATAATGAACATGGCTGTAATGTGTTATGCCTTTCTTTAATTATTTATAACCTTGTTTATAATTTCCTAGGATTGCATTGTAATGCATTATGAGGGTATATAATGCATTTATATGACTGCTTTAAGTAATGTCACAAAACAAATGTTAAGTATACTGGCAACATGAAACAAAGCTCTCTGCTGACAGAGCAATTATCTGACTATGTACATAAATATGTTTTTCCCTTTTATACTTACTGAAAAAAAATTCTCCTAAAGATGAAATTTTAACAGAGTAGTGCAAAATATTTTTGTTGAGGCTGTCATTGATTGTAATATCAGTCACCGAACACAGCTTCACAGTTGTCCGGTTGAAGCTCTCCAGGTCCATTGTTTCCTGATTTGGGGATGTATGTTCCATGCTTTGTCACCGTATGTTATGCATACGATGCTTATGGTAGAGCAAATCTTCACAGCGTGTTCTGGTATAGAAAAAATCCTGGCTTCATGGTAGCACACAAAACCAGCCTTATCTGCATTCTGTAGCAGTTCTCTGTATCCATTTCCTTCTCAGATACGATTAATTGGAATCGTGTTGTAGGTGTAGTTGTATGTGTGTGAGAGGATTGTTTCTGTTTTACCAAAATCAATCAAGACAAGCGGTATTTTCGTGCAGGCAGTGCGTTTGTTCTGCTGTTCTTCGGAAGATGGTAGGTCTTTGAACATCTCACATATTGGCGTCTGTTGAAGTGGATTCTTTGAGGCTCATAATCTTTCCAGGCTCATAATCAGGGTGATTAAAGGAGCTACCTCCTGTCCCTTCCCTCCTGGGGGGAGGTGCTACCTCCGTTATTTTGTACCTGGACATCTTGAGCAGCTGAAGCATTTCCCTCAGGGTCAGAGATTATAGGTCATAGGTCAAGATCTGATTTGTATGTCCCTTATAGTCACTTCATCTCCAGCTGGTAGCTGTACTGTAGGAAGCCACAAATGAAACATCAAATTAAAAATTTTGCAAGCAAACTAGGTAATTATTTTGATGATTTTGCTTGAAGGCTAATGCTATGTAACATTAGGAAACTAGATGCACAAACAATCAGCTTTTGCAAATTTAAGATAGGTTGGTTAATAGTTGTGATCTGAAGCAGTATGGGGACAAGACCTCAAGCGGTCTGCGCAGAAGAAGCGGTGATGAATTGTTAGGTCAGAGCAGTGCTGTGGAAGCCCAAAGGTAAAGTGCTGAATGCCTGGAAGTCACTGCTGTCCATGTAGATCACTGTGGTGGACCATCCATCCCTGGTCAGTAATACAAAGGGCATTTCTGCCAAGGGCTACTACTGCCCAGGCCAATGCTGGCTCAGCTTACGGGAGAAGCCTTGTGGTCCCCGAACATAGCCCTTAAACCGGAATTACTTCCAGCTGTTTATAAATGGACTAAACGTAAACTGCAAAGTGGATAATTAAGGCTCAGCTGAAGTGTCTTCATGGAGTAACGTTTCGGAATTCTGTTTACAAAAGCTTTTGGAACAAAGAGGATGGAGGGGAATGTGTCGTCGTCATGTTCCGCATGGGGAAGTATTCGCGGTCCGAGAGAAAACAAGGCCGGAGTTTAGCCGGGCAAGACATAATAGCAGAGGATCTGAATGATGAAAAGCAGTGGGGAGAAAAAAGAAAGAAAGAATGAATGAAAGAATGAAGGGCAGGACAGAAGGAGAATGGAGGAGAGCAGGAATTCTCCTGGTGCCCTTTATCCAGATGGCCTTTGTGCACAAGCGGTGAGAGTGAATTCTCAGGGCTAGCTGTATTGATCCTCTTATTGGTAGCCTGATACAATGGCTCAGTGCGGGGGGGCACGCAGAGAGGCACTTGTTGCAGGATAAAGCCATTAAGGCCAGCATTTGTTAACATCATTAGAGAAATCATTCTCACCCTTGATTGGTCCTCAGCATGTTCCTATAGCTAGAGCCAGGGCCGGTGATTTTTGGGTCCTGGGGGAGGGCGAGAAGGACTACTTGTGGAGAGGGGGAGGTGTTTTATAGTTTGTCATGCATGGAGGAAAATCTGTCACCTGGCATGGCTGCTCCTTCGCCCGGACGAGGATGTTGTCTTGTTTGCTTTCTCGTTCATCTGGGTGAAGATGTGTCAGTTTGTAAGGCTAGTCTTTTATTTCCAGTGTAACATTTTATCATTTAGGGGGAAGATCTGTTACCTGGTTCCGTTTTCGTTTGGAGGAAGTTTTCAGTTTCCTCTTAATTCGAACAGGGGCTTGTTAGTTAATTTGGGTGCCTTGTGCTTGGGCCTCATATTCTGGCGTACTTAAGGCATTGGATCAGGAGGGGGGGTGCGGCAAATGGAGGCGGGCCGCATGTCACCCAGCGTGGCTCATTCCGGGCCAGTACTGCAGTCTGGAAGGGAAGAACAGGAAGCCGTGCTCATAGGGTGGGTTCCTCTTCCTGGGGTGCTTTAATTGTTTTTTGGGTGGGGCCCCAAGTGCCTACCAGACAGAACTGCCAGTAGTGGAGCCCATAAAGCTTAATCAGGCCCCGGGACCCAAGCAAATGTGGCCAGGTACTGATAAACCCCCCACTCCTAGGACGGACCATGGGGTGCAGCGCTGCACCAAGGCACTCTCGGCATGGGAAAGGGTGTGCTCCGTTTCCTGTTTCCTGGGCCGCTTCCTCTTTGCGAGCATGGCCTCGCCAACGGGCGCAGACAAAGTGTGTGTGCCCTGTGACCCACACAGCCGGGTGGGCACGCCCCGCACCCACGCCGCTGCCTGCACGCAGTGAGGATTATTCCCGAAAGCCCAGCATGAGCCTCAGACACGTATGCGCAGAGAAACTCACAAATACAAACATGTTGATGGACATTATGCTTTATTTACCATTCGCACATGTATGAGTGCAGCTACACTGGAATGCTTCTTTTCACAAATGCCGACTTGCTCTCAGTTGAGAGACGCACTTATATACAGTTGAGAGTGAAGCTTGTTCCATTGCAGGGTCAACCATTTATCTGGCCCCCCAGGGATGACCGGGGGCTAAGGCCCTCACTCTGGGGCCCAACAGTGGCATCAATCTGCAGGCCCCGTGACTTGCACTGGCGATACTGGTAGTGAGATCATTCAGGCAGGGACCCCACCCCCACTGACTGACTGATTAAAGGATCTCCCCTGCAACACTGCCCCTGCTGCCAGTGCATGTCCAGCTCAGAGAGTCTATATTTTCATATTTTATTCAGGAGACGGAGACAAGCGCACACAGAAAAAACACTTGAGTGCAATAAAATCTGATGTATTAAAAATTCATGTTTCAATAATGAAGTCTTGGAAACAACCTGTGATATTTTACTTAAGATTATACTCCGTTGTACTGCTATGCTACAGAGGACAGTTGAGTGGTACATCTTAAATGCAAGGTTCTTCACGTGAAGCTCTTCAGTCCATTGAGTAAGTTAAACATTGCCTTCTCCGGCACCATTGTTGCTACCATGATGTTGTCCTGTTCAGTCTGTTCCTCAGATAACACACTTCAGTCTATTGAGTAGGTTAAAAATTGTCTTCCTGGCACGTCCCGCTGTTCTTCCAGGACTTGCTTGAACAGGGAAAGTCCCGCGTGTCAGAAGTTAAAGCCGGGACCCACCTAGTTCAATGCACGCTATAATTTTGTTTAAAATCATTGTGCCTCTGCTTGCAACACAAGCACCCTCATCATTCCCGCTTAGGATCAGTAAAACAGATCTATCTACCTCTTGGCCTGCATATCTACATCTTGTTATTTCACAATTTTGTGAATATATGTTTATAAGACGCGCTTATATGTGCGTATGTATGTATGTGTGTGTATTTGTGTATATATATATTACTAAAGCATGTCAAATCAACTTCCTACAGCTGAATCAAAGGCTGCCTCTTAAAACTCCATTTCAGTTATCGCTATAAGATAAGATAAGATAAGATTGACTTTATTAATCCCACAATGGGGAGCAGCAATAATAAAAATAATAAAAAAGACAGTAAAAAAACTGTATAACAGGATCCATAGGATCAGCAAAAAATAACAATATAGACAATAAAAACAATAAAAAAAAAAACAATTTCTAAAACTGTATAAATATATAAGTAAAAAATATAAAGAAAAAAAAAGAAACATATACACAATGCTAGGTATATGGATGAACAGCTGCTGAATATATATATATATATATATATATATATGCATACATATATATATATGCATACATATATATATATGCATACATATATATATATATATACATACATACATACATACATACATACACACACACACACACACACACACACACACACACACATATATACATGTACAGGAATTATATATACACATATATATATGCAGTGGGACACAAACACAAGTGACATGCGAGTGAGTTTCAGCATCTCCGGAAGGAGCCTCTTTGAGGTAGCAGGAAGGCAGTTGCACGTCTGGCACGGGGGCAATCTCTA